TGGGTGAGAGGTTGGGGCAAGGAGGGGGAGAGTTGTAGAGGGAAGATTGTCTCAAAATGTGGGCAGTCTCTCCCAAGCACATGGAGATGCTGTGAAAATTACACCACCGTCTGTGTAATCCAGTGGTGTTGACTTCTTATCTGCTCATAAATCAGATTCTTAATTACAGGTGTTAATGGGCTTTCCATCTTTATTCCTTAAATGATAAATTAACCTCAACTAACAAAGCAACCAAAGAAAAACAACCTTTTCAAGTTAAATGAGTACTATTAGCTATCTGTAGGATAATGGTAGTAAGTTCAAGGACTGAGTTTTATGAAATCCCTCATCTTTTTCTAAATCTTTCACCTTTCGGTTGCTGAACTTTGAGCATTTCAAAATTTATAGTCCTCTTGGCAAACCAGGTTTCTTGGCTCTGGGTCAAGGTCTGATATAGGAGGCATTCTGTACTCCTGGTTTTATGATACCTTCCAGCTTTTTTAGCAAGTGCCCAATGCACTTATCTTTAATTGTCTAAAACTGAATTGCAGATACATAAAATTTAATAAATAAGATACAACTATTTTCTTACTTCCAAACACAGCACTCTTTTTTATTGTGTTTTCATTTCTATTTCATGCCATAGATTTAAATTTCTTATTATTTTGAAGTTTGGTAGGACATTAATAGTAGCTATTTTGGAAAGAAATGGGATCAATTAATACCCCTTTAAAATATATTTCTATTTATTTCAAAGAGAGGAAGGGAGAGGGAGAGAGAGAGAAACATCAGTGATGAGAGAGAATAATTGTTTGGCTACCTCCTGCATACCCCCTACTGGGGATCAAGTCTATAACCCTGCAACCCGGGCATGTGCCCTGACCCGGAACTGAAATGCAACCTCCTGGTTCATGAGTTGACACTCAACCACTGAGCCACACCAGCTGGATCAATTAATACCTTTTTATGCACAAGATCCTGCAGTGTCCTGTGAATGAAAAATAATCAATAAGCTTGTCCCGTTCCCTTCTGAGGCTTAAAGTACTTTGGGATAAATAAGGCATTTATACAAGGAACAACAGTACAAAAACTGCATTAAAAGCTTAATACAAAGGACACAGATTAACCTAGCTATGGGCTTTTTAAAAGAGAGAGATACTTGACCTGGCTGGCATGCCTCAATATCCTGTTTCCCCAAAAATAAGACAGTGTCTTATATTAATTTTTTCACCCGAAGTTGTGGTGCTAGGTCTTATTTTCAGGTGATGTCTTATCTTTCCATGTGCTAGGTCTTATTTTTGGAGGATGTCTTATTTTCAGGGAAACACGGTAGTTAGAGTGTCAGCCTATGCACCTATGAGTTCAATTCCTGATCAAGGGCATGTACCTACCTTGCAAGTTGATCCCCACTCTGATCCCCCCCACCCACCTCCCTGTTGAGTTGGATGCAGTAGGCAACCAATCTGTGTGTCTCTGTCACATCAATGTTTCTTTCTCTCTCTCTCTCTCTCTCTCTCTCTCTCTCTCTCTCTCTCTCTCTCTCTCTCTCTCCTCTCTTCCTCCCATCCACTCTCTCTGAAAAATCAATGGGAAAAAAAATCCTCTGGTGAGGATTAACAACAAAAAATAGAGAGACTTGATGATTTGAAGGTTTTAGAGGCCTTCAAAAAGTAAACTAAGTGGGATTTAAATGGGACCATAAAGAATAAATAAGCTTTTTCAGGAGAGGGAGAGCAGAGAGTGGAAGGAAGAGTATAATAAAGACAGATACAAAAGAAGGAGAGGGCACAGCAAGTGAACAGAGAATTGCAGTAAGGAAGAAATGGAATATAAACCTCAGGTGGGGGGGGTGGGGAGGGGACTGGCATACTTTCAACAAAAGATACATTTAAAATATAAATAAAACAAATAAATGAACAAAAACTGAAGACATGGTCTGAATGAGCAGGAAGTAGTAAAAACCAAAGATGGGGAAATATTCAACCCATTATCTTTAATAATGTTAGCAGGAAGAGCTGATTTAGAGGAGAAGATAAGTTGGATTCACTGCTAGATTTCATATGATTATTTTTTAAAAATATATTTTATTGATTTTACACAGAGAGGAATTGAGAGGGATAGAGAGTTAGAAACGTCGATGAGAGAGAAACATCGACCAGCTGCCTCCTGCACACCCCCCACTGGGGATGTGCCCACAACCAATGTACATGCCCTTGACCGGAATTGAACCCAGGACCCTTCAGTCCCCAGGCTGACGCTCTTCCACTGAGCCAAACCGGCTTCGGCTTCATATGATTATTGATCAAACAAATAACATTAAACTAAGAGATAAAATTATGTATTTTCAAAATCTGGGCCCAAGCAAATTTGCCTTTGCCTTATTTTGACCCCTATAGCAGTGGTTCTCAACCTTTCTAATGCCGCAACCCTTTAATACAGTTTCTCATGTTGTGGTGATGCCCAACCATAACATTATTTTCATTGCTACTTCAATGATCCACAGGTTGAGAACCGCTAACAGGGTCACCTAAGACCATTGGAAAACACAGATATCTACATTATGAATCATAACAGTAGCGAAATTACAGTTATGAAGCAGCAATGAAAATAATTTTATGGTTGGAGGTCACCACAACATCAGGAACTGTATTAAAGGGTCATGGCATTAGAAAGGTTGAGAACCACTGCTTTATAGTATGAGTCAAGAGTGTGCTATTTGATTTATAATCCATCACATACAAATATGTAAGGTTCTTGAATTTCGATACAACAGAGGTCCTCTGAAATAATATAATTTATTTTTCCAATGAGTTAATTGGGAGTCCAGAAAGATTAAGTGATTAGCATGAGGTCATAGACTCTATGAGAAATAGAGGTAATAGCAAAACATAGTCATCCACTAGTTTCTGAAACATTGCTTTATTCACATTACCTGGTTATCTTTTCCTTAAATAAAAAAAGCGTTCATGCATAAAGGCACACAAATAAATTTTTAGATACACTTTTTAAAATTTTTTTAAATTTCCTACCTTTGGGTATCTCCAACTCTCTCTGTCTCCAACTCATCACACTCCTTCTATTTAATACCTAATATGTCTTCTTCTGAATATCTTTAAAATTAATATAATCACATACAAACATATCTGTACACACACACACACAAATAGCACATACCTAGGTAGTGTTTTATGCCACTGCTTTACAAAAATAAAAACTTAAATAGTCTTCTCTGTACCTTGTTTTTCTCATTCAACCATACTTGGGGAAATCTCAAGTGAAAAGTTATAGCCTAATTAATATTTTTGTGGGTGGAGGAGTGGAGAGGCGGTTACCTTTATTTTTATTTTTTTAAATCTCCATTCGAGGGTGTGTTTTTATTGATTTTAGGGAGAGGAAAATAGAGGAGAAAGAGAGAAACATTGATGTGAGAGTGAAACATTGATCGGTTGCCTGCTGTACACACCCTGACTGGAGATTGAACCCACAATCTGGGTATCTGCCCTGACCAAACCCAAACTTTTTGGTATAAAGGACAAGGCTCCGACCCATTGAACTACACCAGCCAGGGCAATCATTTCTTTTAATGGTTGCATAATGTTCTACAGTAGATATATGCCTTGATTATTTTTGCTATTCCCCCAATTCATGGAGATCAACTTGTTTCTAGTTTTGCCTCCACAAATAGTACTTTAGTAAACATACTTGTACCTAAACATACATATATACATATATATATATATATATATATATATATATATATATATATAGTGTGTGTGTGTGTGTGTATATATATATATATATATATATATATATATATATATATGTATGTATATATATATATGTCTCCTGGTATTTTGTTTCAATTGGAATCACTGGGTCAATGACATGTTTATTTTTAGTCATAAACATTAAACTGTTTTCCTAAGAAAGCTGTAACAATACACATTCATATCTATGGTTAATAAAAATACTTTCTTTAGCAAGATGTCTCCCCAGGCTATAGTGTTATAACTGTCTTTTAAAGTTTTTTTTTAAGAGCAGTTGCTACAAAGTAAAATCTAATTGTCACTTTTTTGCATTTCTTTGACTACACATGAATATGATCATCTTTTCATAAGCTTGTTGGTTGTTGGACTTTCGATTTTGCAGATTGTATTTTCATATTCTTTACCCATTTTTTCAATGAGCTATTTTGTCTCCTTGAGCTACAAGCATTTCCCCCCAAAATCTACTGTATTTATTAATGGTATCTTTGCCACGCAAAATTTTTTTACTTTATTTAGATAACTATGCTTATATTTTTCTTATAGCTGATGTATTTTCTGCCTTCCAAAGGAAGTTTATCATCCCTGACCCTAAATTATTTTATGGTTCCTATTTTCTCTTACAGGACAGTTCTTGATTGATTAATCTATCTTTTTGGTTTTTGTTTATTTTATATTTTAACCTTTAATCCATTTAGGATTTCTTTTTGGAATTGGTGTAAGATAAAGACCTAGTTTTCTTTTCTTTCAGATGAATAAATAGTTTGATAGTCCCTTATCTTAAGTAATGCATCCTTTTACCACTAAATTGGAATGCCTCTCCAGTTCTACATCGAATCCTCATTTATATGTGGATCAATTTCTGGATATTCTATTTAACAAGTTTGTTTGGGTCCTATATTCAATACTTATTGGTTTGATCAAAGTAGCTTACAGGATTTTCAGAATTTCTGATATCTGGTAAATCAGATTACACAAATGATTTTAAGGTAGTTATCAAATGCTTAGGCAAATACATTAAAAACCTATTTGCTAGACTGAAGTGGAATGCAAAATCAAACTAATATGTCAAAATAACACGTGTATAGTTTTAAAAAATTCCAAAATCTACTTTCCATGATCTGTGTATTTTTATACAAACAGATTTGGAGAGGAAAGATTTTTTAATGCACGTATGAGCCGTTATACAAGGAATAGGTGTGTCTTCAATCCTTAAATGCTCCGTCATATTAATAGCTCTGTTTCCTTGATTCACAGATCGGTCCTTCAGAGGAGTCATCCCTGATCATGTCTTCGCTCTGACCTACAACAGCTTCCCAGTGGGACTACTGCTCGGGGGAGAGCTCTGAGGTTTCCCTGAAGAGAAACTCCATGGGGACTGTACCTGATCCTCTAATAATCACTAAGACTTCCCTGATCACAGCTTCTGAAAAAGACGACGACCTAGGAGAGGTACTGGCTGCCTCCCTTCCGCCTCAACCAGCCCTCCAGAGTAAGAACACAGATGGCCTTTCCAGCAAGCCTCCGGGAGCAGCCCTCAGCCCCAGGGCAGCTTCTGAGGCCCTGATGCAGGCCTGTGAGCATGAGGCCACACGGCCAGACATGTCTTCTCCTGGCATCTTCAATGAGGTGGAGAAAGCACCTCCCGCACTCAACTCCCCTGGCAATACCCGGCGGCCAGGAGACAGCGAGCCCACAGCCCCAACCCCGTGTTCTGCAGCAGCGAGGGATCTCGTACACACAGCCTGTACCATGCCAGCCACCCAGCACACCCACCAGGCCATCCCAGGGGACCAGCCTAATGCCAGCGCCGCCTCAGGATCTGAAGACACCCTGGGGAAATCACAGGGAACCTCGGATGGAGAGCAATCCGAGACGCCGGGTTGTCCTGTGGGAGGCACTTGTCTCAGCAGCCAAGATCAAGTGCCCTGTGATTTTCCTTCTCAAGACACAATCCCGGGAATGGTGCAGACGGCAAACACAGCGCCTGGGGTGCCCAGTCACGCCTCCCCTCCTGCAGGGGAAGGGCAGGGAGCCATTTCCGACTCCAAGACGAGGGCCTGTGACTCTCCAGCTCGAGAAGACGGATGTTCAGGGAATACACAGCCCTCTGCCGCCACCTCAGACACCCAGGCCGCAAGCTCTGTGACACCTCAACCACCCCACCTCCCTGGCAAAGGTTCGGCGTTTCCTCCGGAGCCAGAGGAGACGCTGCTGGCACCACGGTTCAGAGAAGCAAGCACGATGACCCATCAGGCTGAAAACGAGACCAAGGACGTCCCCAGCAGGGCTCAGCAAGATGCGGGGGTGCAGGCCGTGACGAGTGTGGAGAGCAGGTCGGTCTCCACCAGCCCCAGCATCCTCACTGCGTTCCTAAAGGGAAGCCCTGCTCCCGAGCATTCGGAACAAGAGCAGCTGCGTGTCCTGTGCCATGGCAGCGGGAGCCACGCGCTGGAGCTGTCCGTCCACAAGCTGCCCCCCCAGGGGTCAGGGCAGTGCCCCGGCCTCATGCCAGAGGTACGCATCCAGGCAGCTGCAGCTGTTTCCACCGAGGTCCAAGGGGGTAGCAGATTGGTGAGCTTGCCAGGGGAGGTCCTCCAGACCTCATCCATCAGCGAGGCATCCAGTAATGCCCAGGACACCTGTACTGAGGATGGGAGGTCAGCGGGGATGACCCCAGGGATGACCTCCAAACAGCTTCCTGCTCATTCTAGTTCCCTGAAAGCTAGCCTCACAGACCAGGTTTCCACCAGCACAGGAAGTCAAAGTGAAACTAGTCACGCCTTGGGGACATTGGACACAAGGCCATCGGAGCTGGCAGCGAAAACCACAAGTGACCACAACTCAGACCCTGATTGCAAACTCAATGCCTCCTGTGGCCCTGCCGGCCACACTGGCCCGTCGGGGGGCTTGGACCCCACGGATCAAGGAGATGCAAGAGGGAAGAAGCCTGAACCTCTCCCGACAGGAACAGAACAAGGACCTAAAGGCACGGATCTCCTGGAGGGGAAAGCCAGGGCAGAGGCCACCACCCTCCTGCTCCATCCTAAATCTCAAGGAAGCGGAGGCTCGGGGTCAGCTGCCAGTCCCATACCCTCCCCGGTAAGGAATCCCCTGGAGGGCGCCAAGCCGGCCACCAGCCTGAGCCTGCCGTCCGAGTCCATGGGTGGGGACTCCAGCCCCAGTTCGGGCAAGAAGACTCCTTCGCGCTCGGTCAAGGCCAGCCCGCGCCGGGCCAGCCGGGTGAGCGAGTTCCTCAAGGAGCTCAACGTGACCGCGCAGGCGGGGCTCACCCCGGGGGAGAAGAAGAAGCAGCTGGGCGCCGAGGCCAAGCTGCAGCTGAAGCAGTCCAAGCGGGTCCGGGACGTGGTGTGGGACGAGCAGGGCATGACGTGGGAGGTGTATGGCGCCTCCCTGGACCCGGAGTCGCTGGGCGTCGCCATCCAGAACCATTTGCAGAGGCAGATCCGGGAGCACGAGAAGTCCATCAAAGCGCAGAGCGGCCAGGCCCGGAGGTCCATCTCCTCGGACACTTCTTCTTCCCATAAGAAGCTCAAGGGCAGGCAGCACGGCGTGTTCCAGGCCATGCTGCAGAACTTCCGGCGCCCCAACTGCTGCGTGCGCCCCGCCCCATCCTCTGTGCTAGACTGACAGCGTGTGGGAGCCCCTGTGCCCCTGCAGGGCCTTCCCAAGGGTCCCTCCAGGTCAGAGCGCACCTGGTCCCCCCCATCTCCCCAACCCTCATCCCCCCCAAACCAAGCAGAGAAAGGGAGTATCAACTACAGGAAATTGCTACCAAGAATTGTTGGGTCCTCTGATTGGAGCTCTGCGAAATAAAATACTTTTTTCAGCTGGGGATCACACAAGGGAAATGAAGGCATTTCCCTCTGCAAGAAAGAACAAAGCAAGCTCCGCTGAAAGTGCTCCACCTCCATCAGGAGGAAATAAAATTCGCTGGGTTTTGCATATGTTGCTGCTTAGAGAACCAGCACTGTCATTACACGTGTGTCATTTTGTGTCCCTGTCTCAATGGAGCACACTCCGGTATTTCCATTAGAACCCGGCGTTGTGTTAGAAATACCAGAAACGCTATGAGCAAAGCCCCCGTTACACTTTCTAGTCCTATTGCAACAAGGATGCTGTTACCGTGCAAAATTGAAGTAGCTGATAAGAAACCATCACGGGAAAAAAAAAAAAAAAAAAAAAAAAAAAAAAAAAAAAAAAAAAAAAAAAAAAAGTGAAACAAAATTTGACTCATTCCTAGGCCAGAGGACATGAAGTAAAAGCATTTAAATGCATAAGCTACCAAATATGAATTGATATTTGTAAACATCTCCAGAGTCATTTTTGTGAACCTTGTTATACATCTTCATAAATGTAAGGAAGTTAAGATAGGGAAATTAGTTATGCTTTTGAATATGAATACTGCCCACATAACACATGAATTAATAGATACAGATTTTTCCAGCACCAAAGGCAAGACGCATCTCTGTGATTCAGACTAGATTAAATTCCCATTTCCTTACCCCAGAGGAAGTACATGGGCTGAATTCTTGAAAAAAAGTCATCAAGTTATTGGTAATACTAAATTTTATGTTGTGCAGATGTCCTCCAAAAACATTCTACTGAAATGTTAAAGTTCTGGTAAGGAATAATAAATAACCAGTGAACACTCTTCTCTCCATGTTGAAAAAAAAAAAAAACAGGAAAATTTCCTGAGTAACAAAAACAGTGGGTTTCATTTAGACTGCAGTAAACAGGACGCAGTTTGTGTGTTTCTTTTGATCTGGTTCAGTAACTTCCAATAGAAAATGTAGTCCACAGCAAATAGAACACAAGCTCCCTTACCGCTTTGGGGTGTAGACTAATATCATGTCATTGCTTATGTTTCTAACCTATAGCAATAAGGTGACCTCTGCAAATGTTGATTTTAAGAGCAATGCCATCATATCTCATCCTTTAAACCCAATAAAAGAGAGGCTCTTCCTAAAACACAGTTTGAGCTTTGGTCCTGGAGAACATGGGCACCTGTTTGAGCTCAGCCCCCTCCTGCTTCCAGAAATGGCCCTGTCCATGGGATCCGTGAGTGTCTTGCAGGCACTGGACTAGGTTGACCAGCCGTGGCTTGAGAAGTGGGTAGTGAGGAAGAGGGGAAGGAGCTAGAGCTCCTGGACTCGTTGTAGGGAGATCTCTGTTCACCACCTTGCATTGAGAAAATCAGATTGTTAGATGTTGAAGAAGCACTGCTTGCCTTCACTAAACTCACTCTCCTAGAGGAGACAGATGGCCATGAATTCCCTCTCCGGATACTCGTAAAGGCCATTTTTGCACGGACTCAAAGTCCTGTTTTGGCATTTTTTAAAAATTCTTTTTGGCATATGCTGAACATATTGGAGGAAATCATACTTGAACTTTAACACAAGCTACGCTGGACACAACCTGAATTAATAATAGCCATGGATTTCTTTCAAAAACGATTGGACTGTATACAGGGCCTGCATAGTAGACCACAATCACAGCATTCTCAGAGCCTGAGAATGGTACTTAAAGGAGGTTGTATTTGGAATTTATAATGAATTTTTTCATGATATAATTTTTAGTTTCCTTAACAGTTGGCCTCTATTAAGAATGCTGTCTAAAGTAGAAATCACCATCAAATTAGCAATCACATTATTATTTAATGATTAGAGATTTTGTCTAAAATCTCTTTTGGCCTTAAATATCAATTTGTAATTATGTTCATGTCACTGCTGTCAGAGATGCCTTTTCCAGGATGTAATCTCACTCCTATCTCTCGCTCCCCTTGTCGTCTCCCTCACACGTTGTCACACGTGCTGTGTACACACAGAGAACACCCTGTGTACACAGTGGCAGCTGTCAGCAGCACCCACTGCAGCTGGGTGGGCCCCAGGTAATCCTCTGTGCAAAGTGGCTAGAACAGGCTGTTCCTGCATTAACATAGGAGAAAAGGAAGAATTTAGTATCTGGTAATAATATTTATTTTCATGTGTTTGAAGTAACCACATGACTTATACATAGTTAAATGAGGCAGAGGCCTCAAAGAGTTGTCGGCATTTGTTTCACATTAAATCAATTTAAAATTAAATTAATTAGAACTAAACTTGGAGGTGTAGTTGTGCCTCTCGGTAAAACTTAATGTTTGAGAGAGTAACTTTTACTGGTTTTCCTTGGTGCTGGTACTAACCCTGACTTCTTTATTACTTATCTTTACTTCTGCCACACTGTAGAAATTGTCAGAAAATATATTTCAAAAGCTTTCTTGTTTTGTTGTTTATTGAATCTTATAGAAGGAAAAGCTTTTAAAAACAGTAACAGAGTTTGACCGGTGTGGCTTAGCAGTTGAGCATCAATGTATGAACCAGGAGGCCACAGTTTCATTCCTGGACAGGGCATATGCCCAGGTTTCAGGCTTAATTCCCAGTGGGGGGCGTGCAGGAGGCAGCCAATCAATGATTCTCTCTCATTACTGATGTTTCTATGTCTCTCTTCCTTTCCCTCTTCTCTGCAATCACTAAATATATATATTTAAAAAAAAATAACAGAAATAGATCATCAAATGGATAAATAAGATAGGAGCCTATTCAAAACAACCATGTTTTTACATTATGATACCCTGTGTACTCTCACAGTGAAACCTTGATTTGAAATGTTGCCTTCACTTTGTGACACAGCATAAACATTCACTATGTCATTCATGACTCCTTAGGTTCACTCAATAAATGGGGTTGCAAAACAACTTGAATGGCAGACTCTGAGAACTTGTTTGGCTATTCCTTACCTGCAAAACACACATTGGGTTGAAAGTTGTTTGTTTTTGTCCTTAATTTCTTTGGTTATGGTTTGATTCTTCTTAATGCATTTTAGTTGTTGAAATAAATTAAGCAAGTGTTTTATTAAGTAAATAAATATGAAATGTTTCTTGAACCAGCAGTAAAAGAAAGATGAGCTATAACAGAGAATCTGGAAGGAAATGAAACATTTGAAATGTTAAGAGGCCAAGCAGCTTTCTCAGTACACAATAGATGTTTTCATTTAAATCATGATTTTCCTATTTTTATGATGACAAGAAAACGCAGATCCTTTCAACTGTCATATAATTATCTTTAATGCTTTTCTAATTTTGTCTTTCTTGGTTAATGGTTTTAATGCACAGACCAATTACTTCACATATAGTAAGCTCCTAATCAGCCTCTGTGTGTTTTGGATCTGTGGCATGAGTTGAATATTTTATTAGGTTAAAGCTAACCAGAAACCTTTTTGTTTGCATCCAAAATAATATATTTATACCCTATCTGAGAATTATTTTCTACCTTAGTATGTATAGACACATTGAATATTATTTGATTTTTTTATGTCTTTTTAATCTTTAGAATTATCTGATACTCATTATTTCAGATATCAGTGTTCTCCATGCTATAGATTAAATATCAAAATTTAAATGAGTTTGACTGAATATGCATGTATAACACATAACCTGGAGCTTGAATTTTGAAACTGAATCTTAATAGGATTGAGCTGTGGTCTTAAAATAGAAAGCCAGAAAGAAGTTCCTATCATTCTGGAATACCTGTATATACCACATGAAAAATATATTATGACATGACTTTAAAATGTGTTTACAGGGGATCTATATAAGTATGCTATTAATGTAAATTGTTTGGCCTTGGCTGTATCTGCTCTGTTTTACTACCTAAATGTGAAAATGTTCCTCCTACATATTGTACATGTGTTAAAAGATTTGTCCACTTCTAGTACCATCTAACTCACCACATCCCTTGTCTACTTTTTAAAAATCAATATAAAGAAAAACAGTACATTAGCATAAGCTTTGCATATATGTACATGTGTTTTTACTGAAAATTAGGAGCTTGTAGCCTTTCGTAGACCTCTACCTGTCTGATTGATCAATTGTCTACAATGCTGCCATGGAGACGATGCTGTTTATTCTCTCCTGCTTTGTCCTAACTGGTGTTTGAGAAATGAGGCCTGTGAATTTCCCTTTGTGATAACTATACAGTGAACTCAGCAGTCTCTTGACGAATGAGCTGACCATCTTGTCCCCTCCCTTGTTTTTTCTATACAGTAAATCAGAAATCTTGTCCACGTTTGCTTCAGTATTTACTATTTTATATTCATATCTGAGCATTTGTTTCCTGTTAGCAATGCTTCGTGTGTGAAGCCCTTTTGGTTGAATTGCTCCAAATGCTGGTCAGCTGCTGCCACTTGGCAAATGACAGGTGACTGCAGAATCTCCTGCCCATCCTTCCTAATGAAATTCTGCAACTGGCTGAGTAATTATAAATGTCATCTGTGCAGACACATGGACTCAGGATGGCTACATAATTTTAGACATTTTTTCAAAAAAGGAAAAAATGGTCTTGTAAATATTGAAACAGATGCTTATGAACTTTATCCTACTCTTGGGGGGGGGCAAACTCTCCTTGGCAACAGAAATCAAATAAACTTGATTTGCAATGACCAAGGACCTAGACGGAGTGGATGAAGGTGAGAAAATTCTGTCTCACAAATAACCAGAGGTCATGACAACTACTTTTAACTGTGAACACTCACCAGCTAACCTACTCACTTGCCACAACCAAAAAACCTCTCTAAGTAAATCCAATACATCTGTATATATGTGTAGGTAGAAATAACAAAATAGCCTAAAAAATTACTCTTAGGTAATCAAAGTGGTGATCATTTTAAAGGACATTTAAATAACCATGGGCCTTGCTGAAATGACTGTGGAGGCCAGAATGGTGCAACAAGGTGTTATTTACAAGTTTGGTATGTGTGTGTGTTTTTTAAGTCCCAGATATCTCAGAAACTAATCATGAGAATAAAGACTGTTGAATATGAAATCAAAGCCAAGCAATAATGTGCCAAAAAGAGGCAGTTATACCAGCAAGTGCAAGTACTATGGGCACACCACTCTATAGTCATGGTCTGCTCCGAGAAGACTTTAACCCACAGGATAAAAGATGTAACGGCTCATTTCTCCTTTCTTACTGGAGAAGCTTGATTATGAGATTATTAAAGAGATACAACACCCGTGAGCATTACTAGGGATATGGTTAGCAGCCCATACAGAAAAGGAGTCAGAAAGCCTTGCTAGCTTAAAACTCAAGACAGCTCCACCTGGAAACTTGGAGAAATGGGGAAATTAAACATATGGTAATTACTCTTCCAGGACACTTGACATGTAAAGCAATTGGATTAATTCCGCCTGGAGGACTGCCCACCTTTGCTACGAAAACATAGTTTTCCAAATGTAAAGTAACTAAAACATGAGTACTTATATCAAAAAGGGCCTCAAATAATGCCTTACAGAAAGAAAAGGATGTTCCCGATGGGCATTCCTAAGTACTACTTCTTCATCAAGTATCTTGTTGAGTTCAAGCTCAACTCCACTGGCTGCAAAACAGTCGGAATGAAAGTCACATAATTTGCACTTCAGTAAAAGGTACTGATGATCAGCCAGGGTGCTGATAATTATGATGATACACCAGTGGTTTAAGTGTGTTAAGGAGAATTACATGGGAGAGAAACGCAGACTTCTCTTTTGATTTCTTAAGATGTGGGTATGTCATTCGCTTATTTCTGGGGTGAAAATTATAGCTTGCTTTTTGACATTGCTGCTAGCATTACTCTTTATTACTTTCAAAATTAAATTGTCTATTCTTTAGAAAAACTTTTAAGCAGTTACAGAATTTTTTTCTGGTTCTTATCAATGCTTTTAATACCAAGTAAAGACTATGTATAGAGTAAATATATTAAATGAGTAAAAAAGCTTATCCAGGTTTATCAGTAAATTTTAATGATTTTTTTATTAGATTCCTTAATGTTCATTTTAACTGCATTTTTTGAGTAAAATTATTTTTCATAATGTTTTCCATCATATCTTAAAGTGATATTGATAAATCAGGAGATTGCAGTATTATAGTCATACTCCTGAATCCCTACAGGAGAGGAGAGACTAATTCTTGTTTTAAGGGTATCTTGAGATACCTTAACTGAGGTTGAGAAAGGTCAATGGGGCCTGAAAACTCAAGAATACTTACTAACAATTACTAAATGTCTAAATGTATTTATCTCTGCTGTATTAATATGTTGTGAACAATATGTTGTGCATAATACTGTAGCTGGTCGTGGAATGTCAATACATTCTGTAGATGTGTATGGTCTGCCAGTGGTTGGTTTTCTATTTTTATGTGTAGAAAAAATTACATGCCATATCCCATTTTAAGGCCAAGTTCGGTCATAAGGTAGGCACATATACAAAAATGAATAAAGCCAACAAAAGTGTGCATGTGTATTCAGTAACAGTCCTTTCCTTTTTGGAGGTCAGAAAGGGCTGTTGGTTTTTTTAATCATCTTCAAAAGTAGATTACATAATTATCACAAAGACTGAATATAGTAATCAGTACATTGGCATGTTACTAAACATGCCAGGGCTAATTAACCATGCCATTAGTCACAGGTAAGGTCAGTTCTTTGACCACTGGGATGATTTACATTCCTCACACATCCTCTCCATGTTAAGTGTGTGACTAGGATATACATACTATGGGTGTGATTGTGTACATACCTCGTATGAATTATCTAAATCCTCAAAGCAGCTATGGGAAAGCAGGAAGAAGAAACCGCTGTTCAAAAGCCTCAAAAGGGCTAACCAATGTGTATTTTTATTTTCTACACATAAAAATGTGTACACCACATACTGTAAATAGCTTGCAGACATAAATGCATTTTATTCATACTAGTATATTTAAGTAAATCACAAAACAACTCATTGAAAACTGCATCTTTCTATGGCTGTTCTGTTTTACACATACTAGTATTAGTATCAGGTCAGATTCTCCATTAAATGGTATTACTCTCTGGTAGCAGATTTGGAAAATTAGGAAAGCTCCACTGGGCCACAGAAATCTACTTAGCATCTTACTGAGGCACACCCTGTTCCAGAGCAGCTACAAAGGTTTAATACTGTTTCTTTAAGCACCTAATTTTATATCTGAAAATGACAAATACTGGGGAAAACCAATTATGTTTTGTAGACTCTGTTTGTACATTTATTAGTGTATTTATTTGCATAGGCTGATAAAAGCCCTACATTTTTTTTAAAGGATATATCCCTAGATTTCAAGAGTGTAATAATCATATGAAGTGAAAAATTATTGTACACATTCTTTTTTTTTTCTTTAAGATTAGTCAAACAATGTTTAGCAACACCAAAGAGAAGTTTAGAGAAAAAAATTTGTTTTAATTATAGATGATGTTGGTAGGACAATTGAATATGAACAATTGTGAGTTCTTTAAGATGGATTCAAATAAATTACTATTATTAATAATAGGTGATACTGTGTGGACTTGATAACAAGATTATAGTCATTAACTAGCAAATGTCAACACTGGACAATATTTTTCAATTTGTCACAATTCCAATCTGTGAACTGATGTTGTTTGAGTTTCTCTCATTTCTTCTGAAAGGAAATACACTATTAAAATAAAAAAGTCTGATCTGGTCCCTAAAACCTAATATGATTTGACCCCAATTCCTTGACATTAAAACTTATGTTGACTAAGTATTTGGTTTAAGATATGAGGGGGAAATATCAGAATTTTCCATTAACAGAGAATTCTGCATGGTAAAGTACAAATATAACCACTTCTCACTAGAAAGTAAATGATGCCATTTAATATGTATTTGTATTTTAGAGAATGAATGTGCCATCATTATATGTAAGATAAAAATAAAAGGTTAACCAACCACAAGAACACTATAGTTACAACTACAGCTGGCTCTGTTTTTTAACTAATAAAAACATACTTGTTTATAAGAACAGCATACCCGAATTCTTGATTTTTTTGTCAATATTTACTGTTGCTTAGAAGATAAATTTATGTAATTATTTTGGAAGATGTGTTTTCATTCAAGTGCCACCCCAAAAAAAAAAATAGCTATCAATGTGAGAATCATTCATGTTTGTAAATACTCAGCTGAGAAAAACCAAAAGTGTAGTGTAGGTTAAATCACTGAAGATATAGGAATACCAAAAGAAAATTCCATTTATGAATGTGCCAATATTAATATCTAAAGTTGCCTCCTCATCCTAGCTGGTTTGGCTCAGTGCATAGAGCATCAGCCTTTGGACTGAAAAGTCCCAGGTTTGATTCCAGTCAAGGGCATATGCCCAGGTTGCAGGCTCAACACCCAGGGGCCTCTCTCTCTCTCTCTCTCTCTCTCTCTCTCTCTCTCTCTCTCTCTCTCTCTCTCTCTCTCCTCTCTCTTTCTCTCTCTCTCTCTCTCTATCCCTTCCTCTCTGAAATCAACAAATATATTTAATTACTTCCTCATGATGTCTATATACAAGATCATAAAATGGTTTATTCGAGAAAGTCCCCATCCTCCAGAAATTGACCTACCAATTAAATTTTATTTCCTAGAAAAAAGATGAAATATTAGATTTATAGATCAAGATTTTGAAATTATATACTCTTCTTCCTTCATTTTGAATTTGATTTTTGAATGGATGAATGAATGAAATTCAACTGATGACTTAGTTTTACCTTTAAAATTTTCAAATATTTTTTGCATTTCATTTTCCATAATAAATGTAACAGATGAAAATTTACTGTGCTTTTTGTCATTATTGTTACTGATTTTGCCACTGCTGTTGAAATTGCCCTTTGAGCCCTTAGGTGTTTATAACCAATTAATTTTCAATGTGACACATTTCTCCTAGGAACCTACATTTCTACTAGGAACCTACAGTGGAGTTGAATTTCCATCGAATCAACAATACATACCTGCAGTCATCAGAAGCAGTGGATTTTCCTGCTCCTGATGGCACAGTCGTGTGTGTCTGTGTGTGTGTGTGTGTGTGTGTGTGTGTTTGTGTGCGAGCGCACGTACATTTGCTCTTGTTTGGTGAGAATAGTGAGAGGTTGACATGCATGAAAATACTGGAAGGGGTTTAAATGACAAGGCCCATCCACTCTTACAGTGGCATGGACCATCTGTATTCAAGCTTATATTGTCTCATGTCTGGGCTTAGCTGCCTCTTTTCCAGGACCATTCAGATATGTGCTGTGGATATACAGCCTCTCTGACTACTCCTCGGCAAAGTCAGGGTCCTGCTATCTAGATTCTAGGAGATGGAAAGCCAAGCCATGCCTTCCAATCTAGCGTACCTATTAATAAAACTAAGACTTTAATTGGACCCCTTTTTCCTGCATGAGTCTGATTTCAATTCATCAAAGAACTGTAGAGCAGGGTGGTTACAAGATTTATGAACCCCAAATCCCAAAAAATGATTTAGTGAATTTTCTGTTAACTTTCAACAGTAGTTGTTTTAAAACTTCCAAGGGCCATACACTCCCTCAATTACTCCCTCAATTAGTATAAGTACACACTGTTTAGACTAAAAGAGTGTCTTAGGGCTGCCATTATCCAAATCATATACTTAGACGTCGATTCTTGGCAAAATTCAACCTCAAATGTTTCCAAAGATATGAATGCTATTCATGGAGAAGTTAGATCAAGCAGGAGTCTTCATGGGGGCTGAGATTATTTGTCTTAGGCTGGTGGCTGATTGTGTCCCACCAGCAGATGTGTTTTCCCATTAGGTGCTATTTCCAGCCAACTGTTCTTACTCATCCACATCTTTCCTGTTGAGTAGTAAACATGAGAAGTGCCTATTTAGCATAACTGGGTTTCACCGGACTTACTGTGCACTCAAAATACTTCTTGTTTCTTGTGAAGTTTCTGCCTCTTGTGACCCACACAAGATCTCTTTCAATCTACCACACATCCTTAATGAACCCAAGAGTACAACATTCTTTAATCTTTCTCAAGACCATCCACGACTGTCAGTGAGCTAAATTACAGAATTTTAAAATCTTTAGACCCTTGGAATGATCCAAATGTTCTGCAGCCAGTTTTTCTAAATATATTACCGAGGAGTCACATAGTCAAAATTCAATTTGTCAGAATAGAAGCTGAAAGTGCTCAGAGAGATTTATGATGGGAGTATAGACATTTCAGAGATATTTCCTACATTTATTTTTTATTCCTCTTGACACCTCTCAATCAAACTGCATAAGAACATTGGCCTGCTATTCAGAACAGAAAGAAAAAAAAACTAAGCAGAATGTTATTGTTAAAGATATTATAGGTGTTTAAAAGCAGGATACATTTCTTAAAAATCTGGAAAGTATTTGCTTGTTATCTATGCTCTTTTTGTTCAAAGTCAATACAAAGAATAATGGCTATATGCCAGATGTTCTGCTGGGCACTTCCACATATGTCTCAACCTTGGCAGGTATTGTATATAAATCCAATCCATATGAATTAGATGTTCAAAGAAATATATTAGTAAATACTCAGGCTTAGAACAAAACAAACAAACACTGAATTCAAATTTCAACTTTAAATATATTTTTATTGATTTCAGAGAGGAAGGGAGAGTGAGTGAGAGATAGAAACATCAATGATGGAAGAGAATCATAGATTGGGTGCCTCCTGCATGCCCCACACTGGGGATTAAGCCACAACCCAGCCATGTGCCCTATCTAGGAATCAAACCATGACCTCCTGATTGATGTCAAACCACTGAGTCATGCCAGCCACACTCAAATTTCAACTTTAAAGTTAAATACATTGGCAAAATTATTTAATGTTTTTGACCCTCAGTGCAGTCATCTGTAAATCTCAGATAACAATACATACATTGCAAAATTGAGTGGTTTAATGACAGGTCCTCCCCCTTCTGCTTTGAGTTTTGCTTTTTGCTTGATCTACTAGAGGCCTGGTGCACACATTCGTACACAGGTGGGATCTGGCCACTCACCCCATTGTGGGCTGATTTGGGCTGGGCAGGCAGGAGCAAGGGGCCACAGGCAGTTGGCCAGCCATCCCTGCCCCTAGTCAGGATGGGAGAGTCAATCAGGGGTAGGCCGGTAGGGGAGAGGGGTGAAGAGAGGTTGGGGGGCCAACTAAGGCCAGTCATAGAGACTGATCATTCCAGGCATTTGGCTTTCATATATATAGATTGTAAATACACTGGCATTCTGCCATTTCCTTCCATTTTGTAACCTTTTTTTATAAATCTAAGTAAATACTAAGAAAGGTTTTAAATATGACTATGAGATACCTAAACTGTGACTTTAAATGCATTTCCCTTTTTGATAAAGCATGAAGATAATATATTCAAGCATTTGAAGTTGTCAGATCATCAAGAAGTAAAGACTTTTATGAAGTTTAATTTGTCACACCAAATATGATTTTTAAAACATATAGTTAAATGCTAATAAATTATTACTAATTCAAAAAAAAAAGAAAACAATTGGTAACTTTACACTAACATTTAAAATGTACATATGATAAAAGGTTCCATATGCAAATAGAAGTCATATAACTGTCAAAATAATAGAATCTAGAAAACTAGTAAGAACACTTACAAATCAGTGACAGAAAGATGAGCAATACAACAGAGATTTGACAAACTGTATAAGCAAGTATCATGAATGTATGAAAACATGCTCCACTTCAGTCACAAACGTTTATCCCTCATAGTTGAATCCTGTGGGAGGAGAGAACTTCTGGATTCATGAGGCTGCGTTAGCAGCTTTATGTCCAAGAGCTGGGAGAGAGAACCTCACCTACATTAAGAGATCTGCAAGTAGAAGATACTGGTGGTGGTGGTGGTGGTGGTGAGTGTGTGTGTATGTGTGTGTGTGTGTGTGTGTGTGTGTGAGAGAGAGAGAGAGAGAGAGAGAGAGAGAGAGAGAGAGAGAGAGAGAGAGAGAACCTCCACACATGTCCATGAGCAGCACACATGCACATCTAAGGGAGAAGGAAGAGCTGTGGGAAGAGGGTTCTGTAAAGAATCTACAGAAAGCCCGGGAGAGCAGGTTAGATGTGAACACCTGCCACCGGTTCCCTGTTCCTCCCCATTATCTTCAGCCAGTTAGTTGGCAGAAACAGAACCTCTAAGAAGTGGAAAGAAACAAAAATGCAAACCTGACATTTTATCATTTTCTTCCATTTACTAAAGTTTTTATGGATCTAGGTAAATACTAAACCTGCTCCCACTATGTATGTTTGTGGGGCTGATCAGGAAAGCACTTTTATTTATGAGTAATTGACTTATGATTATTACAGGACATTAGGCATTTTCATTTTAAATAGTGAGACTGCGTTTGCAATTTTGAAGGACTTGTGCCTGTTGAATCCAGGGGGGAGGCTCCCCAAACTGAAATAGATGATGTCACTAATGATGACTTTGCCACCTGACATAAAGCTTTGTGTGGACAGAAAGTAATGGAAGTTCTTAAGACTGAGCCATGCTTCCTGCTTTGCCCCTGAAGGCTTCTGCATTTGCAGTTCCTGCTAGAGACTCCGAAGTTACCTTGGGGCTTAGAAGTCAGCAACATCAGACGTTCCCGAGGTTGTGAAGGGCGAGCCCCAGGTGATTTCACCGTGGTAGGCAGAATTCCTAGGTGGCCCTCAAGATTCCAAGTCCCTGCTGCACACACACCTTCCACCGGTTATTCAATCAGCCACTGCTGTGAGGTGATTTTGCAGGTGTAGTCATTCAGATCTCGAATCAGTTAACCTCAAGACAGAGAGATTATCTGTATGGCCCAGACCTAATCACGTGAGCCCTTCAAAAGCTAGTTTTCTCCAGCTGGCCCCAGAAGAAGTCTGAGAGATGCCCTCCAGCCAGGCGGGAAATAAGCAAGCATCCATTCTGTGAACTTCAAGTGGAGGCTGCCCAGCAAGGAATTGCTCACACCCTCTAGAATCTGAGAGAAATCTCCATCTGATAACTAGAAGAACAAAAG